GTCAGATTGCTTTTTCAATAACTGTTTTTGTTGTTCATAACCTTCACATAATGTGTGTTTTCACCGCATAAGGAGGTCGTGTTTGTTTTTACAGTGTATTCAAATGACGGGACGCTCGCAGGCCTTTATGCTCTTTTCTTACTCAACATTAAATGGTAGGAACCAGACAATAGTTGGTGCTTTACCGTCTTTGGAAAAATGCTCGTCCTATCGTTCTAGCAAAATATCTGATTAAACACGATGGCTGACACAACGAATCAATCAAAATGCTCTGATACGAAGGTTTGGGCTGATATCAACATCCAGCATTAATACTTCTGTAACTGCAGATAGTCCATATCATTATTGTATGTACACACATGCAATCTGAGACCATGGTTCTCGACCGGAAAAGGGTGGCTTGCCAACTCCGGGTCGGGAGAGAGGTCCTACCTCAAGTGGAGGAGTTTAAGTATCTCGGGGTCTTGTTCATGAGTGAGGGTAGGAGGGATCGGGAGATCGACAGGTGGATTGGTTCGGCGTCTGCAGTGATGCGGACGCTGAGCCGATCTGTCGTGGGGAAGAGGGAGCTGAGCCAGAAAGCCAGGCTCTCGATTTACCGGTCCATCTACGTCCCAATCCTCACCTATGGTCATGAGCTTTGGGTAATGACCGAAAGAACGAGATCGCGGATACAAGCGGCCGAAATGAGTTTCCTCCGTAGAGTGGCCGGGCTCAGCCTTAGAGATAGGGTGAGGAGCTCGGACATTCGGGAGGGACTCGGAGTAGAACCGCTGCTCCTCCGGATCAAAAGGAGCCAGTTGAGGTGGTTTGGGCATCTGGTCAGGATGCCTCCTGGACGCCTCCATGGGGAGGTGTTTCGGGCGTGTCCTGCCGGCAGGAGGCCCCCGGGTCGACCCAGGACACGTTGGAGAGGTTACATCTCCAATCTGGTCCGGGAACGCCTTGGGGTCCTGCCGGAGGAGCTGGTGGAGGTGGCCGGGGAGAGGACGGTCTGGAGCTCCATAGTTGGGATGCTGCCCCCGTGACCCGGACCCGGATGAGCGGAGGAAGACGGCGACGACACACACGCCTTTATGCTGTTGAGATGTTGACCATCACCGTCATTCCCCCCCCCCCCCCCCCACACACACACACACACACACACATACACTCATCTGAAACAGACACAAGATGACAGCTAGATGGAAATAAACATCGGTTGTTAATATTGGTCCAGTTTTATTTATCGGAATGCTGATATTGGAAAATAAGACATGTCAACACTGAGGCCGATATATGGTGCATCCATAAAAGTCGCCCTTTAAAAAACACCAATCATTCATCTCAGACGGGGAAAGCTGCCAGTTCGGACTTTTGTAAACACGTTTTTCCCAAATACAGTAAATAATAAACGATTTAATGCTTAGGTTTAGTTGTTCTTGCAGTAAATTTCCTCTTTGTTACAGGCTGCTGGTATCACAGTCATTAACTAGCCACATATAGCTAGTTATTAGCTAAAGATTCAGTGTAAAAATGGTCTCATCCCTTGAGTTAGGAGGCTTTAGATGCTGAATGTTTTTGAGGTTTTTCCAGTGTTCAAACATCTGTTTAATGAAATACAGAGAAATCGAGTGAAAAGCAGCTGAATATGTGTCCTGTATGGATTCTGTATTGAGACACGGACAACAGATAACATCTCTGAGTTCGGCTCCCAGCAGCAGAAAAACACAATTCTTCATGTCGGTTTTCCTCCGAGCTAATGCAAACCAGAACACGTAAGAAAAATCCGCCTTTGTGTGGCCGGGACACGCGCATCTAGCATCCTCACTAACAGGAAAACACAACAAATGAAAATTAAAAGTCCTGCATCAGCCGGAGCCGAGCTCGGAGGGAGCGGAGAGGAAGCGAGGAGCGTCAGATGGGTGTAAAGATGGCTGCTCGGAGCGTGTTTTGCTGCTGTTAAAAAATGAAAAACTTCTCATCCTGAGAGACGCTCTCTCCAAACAGAAGAAAGGTCAGGTGATTAAAACAACCAGCTCTGTTAGAGGCCACAGTAGAACAATAAGGAGGATCATCAGAATGGGATTAGTCCCGTTATTCCGACATCAGGGGTATTTATCTCTGATATTTATGTTTAGGGCCGCTGAGCCTTTGTGTGGTGTAATAATAACATGATTTAAACGTTTGAGCCCCAGCTGGGACTCGCAGAAGAGTAACTCAGCACGGAGGCCTTGGTGTTCTGTTCCTCAACTTAAACAGAACCCAGCAGAACCGGCTGTAGATGTGGTCTAAACGTAGGGTTTCGGAAGTGTTGGGAACATTCCCTCACAGGTTTACTTTCCCATTTTTATTCCCGAGGATTTTCTCGAACCATTTGACCCGTTGAGCCGAGCCAGCAGTGAATTCACCCGGAGCACGAAGCTCGTACGTAGCTCAGCTGGACCATCGTTTCAAGGTTGTCAAGGAGACGGTGGCGGTTCATTTCCTCCTTAATACGGGGAATGGCGGGGAGCAGGTCCGGCGCCGCATCACCTCCTCTGTCCGGGTGATGGAAGAGGACCAGAGCTGCTGGGCAGAGCTCGGGTCACAGCTTAGCCTCCTGGGAAAACCAGGAAAATTCGTGCAGCTTGTGAATGTGCACGGACATAATGCTGCACCGACAGCGTAAAGGTTGTTGTTTACCAACCAGTTAAGCTGAGTTCCCAGTTCAACCAACAGTTTGATGCTTTTTAACTTCTGCAGGTTTGTTCCACTAATGAATTTTATTAACTTCATAAAACTCATAAAAAAGTCAAATGTGAGTTTTAGCTGCTATTAGATGACATCATGGCTGCCGACCCCTTTAAAGATATGAAATAATAATAACGGTAAACCTGAACTATGTAGTCTAATTTCATATAACAAACATATAATAATGTTGTTTATAACAACAACACAGTAATAATACTTTAAATTGGCCCTTCCTCCTGTAGATCCTCCACCAGAGGTCCAGCTGTAGATGTTTTATGGAAGCAGTTGAGACCACAGAGCAGAAAATGAGTTCTGCATCAGAAAAGTTAGAGAAACTGTTTGAATGGGACGCTTTTCTAAAGCTCTATGGTCAATAAAAACAAGTTCATGAGGTTTTTGGCACGAATCTCTCCTCACATAAAACAATATCAACAGTTTTATTTAGAACTGTTTCGGTACCTTCCAGAATGAGCCGTTTCAGGGCTCAGTCACTTCTTTACACAAGTTGGAGCTGGCCACGCCCACCAACCTCCTGATTGGCTGCTATAATCCACCACCCTCCTGATTGGCTGCTATAATGTGAGTAGCTCAGACATTGGGGGAGGGGTTTGGAGCAGAGCTGCTGCTCCTCCAGTGTTTCTGAAACGACTCATTTTAGGCGCAATTCCCAAAACCAAATGCTGAGAAGATGGATGGACATTTATTTTCATGTTTGGAGTTTTTATGGAGGCAGGAGAGATCCACATGGCAGCACAATGTCACGAACTCCTCCCGCTGACTTCATTTCCCAGCATTCTCGCCACCACTTCCCATCATTCCTGCCACCAATGTGGCGGCTGACGTCATCACGCCGACACTACTTAAGGAAGTGCCGGCATTTCATTCATTACTCAGTCATCGTTTCTACCAGACTTTGTATCGAGTCCTCAGGCTTACCAGCCTTCAAACCTAACCCAAAGACTGATCCACGCTGTTTACTATTAGTAAGCCAGCGACCTCATCCTCCGGAACTGCTACTCAGTCTCGGCTCTCTTCCCGAGCGCTGTGCTGCCGTTCCCAGAACAAAGCTGCCTGCTCTGTCAAACCCAACGCCAGCCACTCCGCGTCTGGGCCACACAGTTACGCCACAATCCATCTCCGCTACGCTTCAGCTCAGCCGTGAAACCTGACACACAAAAAGATGAAAAGGCTGAGTTTTAACGACGTGTTGAATAAAGCCCTCCGTTACATAAAAGGGGTGAAACTTTACAAGTTCAAATATTTAATTTAGCTTCCTTTAAAACATTTTAAAGGTGTGGTTCACTCCTTTAACAAAAAAAAATGTAAAAGAAGCAAGATTTTTGCTGGTTTCTTATTCACATTTGTGCATTTTTATGTCAGAAAGAGTTAAAGGCGCCATATCGGTGCTTTTATATCGGAGCTAAATGTTCGTTAGCATCGTTCCTACGTTTCTGTACAAATACAGGAACTCTGATGTGGGTCTGCATCGTTCTGAGGAATCTTCTGGTATAAAACTACATTTTTCTTATTATCGCCTTTTTTATGATTTTTGTTTTTACGGCCCCGTTGGCCGCGGTCATCATGCCTCTAATTCAGTTAAGTACACAACAGGAGGAGTTAGCTTAATTTATTGTCTGTAAAACATTGAAGGTCAGATCTGTTGGGAGTGGGTTTATGATTGCTGGAGGGGTTTTTGTGCGTGCCGTCTGTTATCGGGGACATGTGGCTCCTGTGATGTGATGATTAGTGTCACGGCGTGACGGTGGTTGGAGTTTTGGACGCTGCTTCTAGTTGTTGGAGAGGGGATGAGCAGCAGAGGGGAGGAGAGAGAGGACAGGAGGAGGGAGCTGCTGAGACATCAACACAATTTGCTTAATAAAATTAGGGAGAGTTGAAGAGCACAAAGCCGGCGGGCGTCTGAGGGAGGGCAACACTCGGAGCCGGACCGCAGCTCTCCGCTTCACCTGAGTGAACATCTGCTTTAGGTAAAGGTCTGGTTCTGCTGAAGCTCCACCTGGCTCTGGATCGGCTCAGAAAACTTCCGTAGACCTGTAGAGGTGGGAGATGCTCCAGCTGACCAAAGAGCAAAAGGCTCCTCCTGAAATGGAAGATGAGGAAGCGCCCATGTCGGCTTCCCAGGAAGCTCTGGAGAGCCCGACCTCCGAGACCCCGGCTGAGCCGGTCCAATCCACCCTGACCCCTGACCCTCGCAACTGGTGTAGGTGTTTGTGTCAGCCGTGGTGTCTGGTGCTCACACTCACGCTGCTCCTCCTCTCTCTCCTTGGCAGCTGGGCGGTGGTCCACCTCACCCTGGGGACTCGAGGAGGAGCGCCATTCCGGGTCTCCGCCGGATACGACCAGAGGATCCCACAGGAGGACGCGGCCACCATCGAGCCCCACTTCACCACCAACTGCACCATGGGTGAGTAACGGAGCAAATCCTCACTTTCATCCTGGTTTCTGCTTCTTTGTTTTCACCTTTAGTCACTTTTATTCACTTTTATTCATTTTTATTCCCTTTTATTCACTTTTATTCATTTTTATTCCCTTTTATTCACTTTTATTCACCTTTATTCACTTTAATTCCCTTTTATTCACTTTTATTCACCTTTATTCACTTTTATTCACCTTTATTCACTTTTATTCACTTTTATTCTTGTTACTGCAAAAGACTAAAAAATACATTTAAACTTTTAGGGTCCAATCCAAACTGATGAAACCTGATTTTTGCCGGGAGTTGCTTTCCCTGGTGTGTGTGTGTGTGTGTGTGTGTGTGTGTGTGTGTGTGTGTGTGTGTGTGTGTGCGTGCGTGCGTGCTGTGCGCGTGTGTGTGCTAATGTGCGTGCGTGTGTGTGTGCGTGCGTGCGTGCTGTGCGCGTGTGTGTGCTAATGTGCGTGCGTGTGTGTGTGCAGCTGCATGTGTGTGCGCGTGTGTGTGTGTGTGTATGTGTGTGTGCACGCACGTACGTACTTGCTTGTGTGTGTGTGTGTGCCTAATGTGTTTCACGTGTCTGCTGGACATCAGCTCTACCATGTCTGGAAGCTGCTCAGCTCTGTTCCGTGATTTTTAACGTCATTACTCCACGTTGAGGAATGAAATGCGTAAACCAGTCGGGTCACAGATAATATCCTCCTCTGTCAAACTCAACATCTCCTAAAATTAAATTAAAAGAATTGATTCAATTTCCTCTGAACTAGATGGAAGGCACAGCGTACCTCACAGAGACACGGTTTCCCCGACAACGGCGACACGCCAGCGCTGGGGCATTCATGAGACAATTAAACATGTCTAATGTAAGGTTTGTTTTTCAAACAGAGAAACTTGTTTACCAGATAAACCCAAAACAAACCCAACAGCATGAACTCGTTTTCTAACCAGATTTTGTGTTTTCTGGTGATTTTCGTCCTTTTCAGCGCTGTACGTGGAGGTCGTGCAGGTGGAGTTCTGACTCTCCTGTAAACCACTTCCAGTCCCGCTGCTTCCACTACGATAACAGAATACCATCATTTTCTTATTAGTTCATCCATTAACTTTACCAGCTTAATCCGGTGGAGCGTGTCGGGGTCTGCAGCCCGTTTCCAGCTGACGGGACACACTCCTGTCCGGCATAGACACAGATAAACGTGCACGCTCACACCGCAATCAACAACCAAGCCAGTCAGTAATTCTCTTAAAGAGAAAACGTTCACAGCAATCATGACTCTACTTTAGGACTTTAACACTAAAGCTCATCAGGTTCTTCCACAAATAACTTGTTTTGGCGTTTGGGACAATAACGGAGGACCTGTAGCTGTGCATGAGGCTAGTAGACACTCCGAGTCTTGTTTATCCTGCTTTTACGGCATCAGTAAAGCAGCTCTTTCTAGACTTCAGCTGGTCCAGAACTCAGCAGCTAGGTTGCTGACTGGAGCTGACAGAAGACAACACATTTCTCCAATTCTGAAATCTCTCCACTGGTTGCCCGTGCAGTTCAGGATAAACTTCAAAATTATGCTTCTCACTTACAAATCCTTGAACCATCAAGCTCCTCCATATCTGTGTGAACTTGTCCATTACTACAACCCGCCGCGTGCTCTCAGGTCTGAAGATAAGCTCCTCCTAGCTGTTCCCAATGCACGTTTAAAAAGCCGTGGAGAAAGGGCTTTCTCTGTCTGTGCACCGAAGCTGTGGAACGCATTACCACTGCTAGTGAGGCTAGCACCAACAGCTAGCATTTTTAAATCACGCCTGAAAACTCACTACTTCAACCTAGCTTATACCACATAATTATGGACCTCACTTACATCTGCACTGTTTAAAAATGGACTTCACAATTATCGACTTCCGTATTATTGAGGTTCTTTGTAAAATGTTTTTTCCTATTTTTATTCACCCTGTGTCTTATTGATTTTTAGCTGTTAGTTTTGGGAATTTTGTTGAATTTCCTTTTTATCTTTTATCTGTGTTCGACATGTTTGTATAACGCCTGTTTAATTAACCAACATTATTAGTGTACAGCGCCTTGTTTGGTTGTAATGCCTTGTGAATGCGCATTATAAATAAAATTGGATTGGATTGGATTGGATTTATGTGAGCGGCCATGTTTATAACCCTAGTCCAACTCTGGATGTGGGTCTCACAAGCTCACAAAAAAAAAAAAAAAGCAGAAAATGTGAAGTGACCTTTTTGTCAGAAAAGTGTCTAATTTGTTAACATGGGAGGGGGCGGAGCTTATAACCTGTACTGCAGCCAGCCACTAGGGGGTGATATAATCTAGTTTACTGCATACAACAGGTCCAGGTTTAACATGAGCTAGTTCCTAAACCCTTTCATATAAATCAGATGTTGTCAGTGTATAACTTTTACTGTTTTTTCTAACCAGTCTCAGAAAATGCTGACCTGATGTCACTGGACTAGGTGGTCCGTTGAGTCTCGGTGTCCCTGAAGATGCTCGTAGACTCAGACCCCTAACTTTGAAATATTTAGATTTTTACTGGATGCTCCCACAACATTTACGTCCGACCTGGCCTCCTCCCACAGACCTATAGCTCAAACAAAACGGTGGTGGTTTCTTTCACAAGGACCTGTTCCACAAATCCCATTTTCCCTTCTTTCCTTTAATTTTTTTACTCCCTCAACCTCAGTTGTACTCTCCATCCGACCAACGATCTTGGGGTTGCACACTTTGGGCGACGGTGGCACTTAAGCGCTCGCCCCGTAAGCAAAAGGTTGCAGGTTCGAGCCCCGCTCAGTCTGTCACTGTGTCCTTGGGCAAGACACCTAACCCACCTTGCTTGCTGGTGGTAGTCAGAGGGACCACTGGCGCCTGTGCACCCCTGTGCACCAGGGTGTGAATGGGTGAATGACGGATTGTGCTGTAAAGCGCCTTGTGGGGTTCCAGGACTCTAGAAGGCTACGTCAGATAGACCATTTACCATTTTCTTTGATTTCTCTTTCTTTCTCTCTGGACCTTGATGGGTTATGTCCCGCCAGCTCTCCTTGATTTTTAACTTCCGGGTTCGTAGACATTCCCACTTGGAGAATCCCGCAGACTTTAGTCTACTGGATCTCAGTCTGGGCTTCATGGCGCCCACTTACCAGAGCTCCGTCCTCCAGACTGTGTTAGTCTATGAAACCACGTGTTTAGGTCTAAAGACCGAACCCGGTTTTGTTTCTAAGCAAAGACGATTATAATATTTTAGTGATTTTGATTTTCTCTTGTTCCGTGCCGTATTTTCTGTCCCACGCTTCCATTCAGAATCTGACTTTCTGCTCATGAAACATCTGGCCAGGTGTTCCTTTCACCTGTGGATCACTGCACCTTCAGCCTGGAGGCAGAAAGCTGCGTGACGCCCAGCAGATGTTCAGTGTCGCATCCCGACATCAGCGCTGCGGCTGCTGCAAGCTGCTTCCAGTCGCTTTTCTCCTGCGACGTCGGCATCAAACACAACGTCGGCATCAAACACATTTTTACATTCTGACTCATTTCGTGAAGGATTTAACCTAAAAGATAATTTCTGCATCACAGAAGCTCTAGTAGGTTGGTTCCTTTTTCACACCAACTTCATTCTGAGTTCCTCGTGAAACTTTGTTTCTATGGAGACAGTTTTCGATGGATCTCCTGGTAAACTATTCTAGATGATAGAAATCCATTTTCAGGAGTTTTTCCTGCTTAGAAATGCAAGAATAAAACAAAACAAATGTTTTATCCTGGGTCAGGTTCAGCGCCTGACTGTGTCCACAAACAAGACTCTCCATAACAAACCAGCAGCTAAATCTTTATTATCTAAATTTAGCCGTCAGATCTGCAGAAGAGTCCTGGAGGAGGCAATCAGGAGCTTCAGTTTTCCCTCCGACCCTCAACAGAACCTGGATCTTCTTCATGAGTTCAACTAAAACTAAATAAAAGAGAATGTAAGGAAACCGCTGGTATCCAAAGGTCAGAAGAGTCCTGTCCGGGTGTCGGGTGTCGGTTCTGCCGATGCGGGATCACCACGTTCTCCTGGCAAGCGTCTCAGAGAGGAAAACTAGACGGACGTTCCGTTCTCTCCTCCGGCACCAGCTGGAAACCCACCCCTCACTCCGAGACTAAGCCCTAATCCGTCTCGCTCTCCGTACAGACACCCCCCCTCCACAACACCTGTCGCACACCTGGGGTCAGGTTACCTTCAGACCTACACGGCATCAGCAGAGCTGGAAAATCACAGGGAATTGTTTATGCCTCTGTCTTTGTTGCATGGTGATTTTCCTGCAGACTGATTCTGAGAAAACAAAAAAATGATGAAATTACATCCAAACTCTTGTTTTGCATTTTGATTGTTCCTTTAAACTCATCTCCCTTCAGATTTATTTAGTTATTAGCAACAGTCAGAGGTCAGAAATTCCACAAATCCCATTAATTTTTGTGCTTCGATTGGGAAACATTGGACAGCGTCTGTTTTATTTCCTTGATCAGAAACGAGTGTGGCGCGCTGTTCCGTCACCCGTTTGGTTTCCTTTAATTAACTCATCAGTCAACAAACAATCCAGTCTCCGGAATACCACGTAACAAACAATCCGGTCTCCGGAACACCACGTAACAAACAATCCGGTCTCCGGAATACCACGTAACAAACAATCCGGTCTCCGGAATACCACGTAACAAACAATCCGGTCTTTGGAATACCACGTAACAAAAAATCCGGTCTCCGGAATACCACGTAACAAACAATCCGGTCTCCGGAATACCACGTAACAAACAATCCGGTCTCCGGAATACCACGTAACAAACAATCCGGTCTCCGGAATACCACGTAACAAACAATCCGGTCTCCGGAATACCACGTAACAAACAATCCGGTCTCCGGAATACCACGTAACAAACAATCCGGTCTTTGGAATACCACGTAACAAACAATCCGGTCTCCGGAATACCACGTAACAAACAATCCGGTCTCCGGAAT